AATTCTTCTTCCCCCCTCCCCCTCCCCCTCTCCCCTCCCTCTCCCGCGCCCCGCCCGCCCCGTCCCGCACGGCGCCCTCCCCACCTAGACCCCCGCACGGCTGGACCGCCCTGACAGCCCTGGACACACACACGGCCGGGGCCGCCTCCACCCTCACGACGCCGGCACCGCGCGGCGGAAAGGAGGCGGCCTCACGGGGGAGCGGCGGGGAGGGCGGCGAGGAGGGGCAGTGGGCGGGACGCGGACGGAAACGGAACGAGACAAAGGCCGGGCGGCGCCGCCCCGGCCCACACCCCGCGCTGCCTTTGTGAAGGCCCCAGCCCCGGGAAATCTCGCGAGAGTACAACACCTAACCCCTCCCTTACCCCCCCCCCGCCCTCCAAACCCCCCACGGAGCTCGTTTGTTGGTCGCCCCGCCTCCTGAAGCCCGGGCCCCGCCCCCCACGCCCGGCTATTTCCGGCCGCGGTGTTTCATTTAGGCGGACAATATGGCGGCGTCTAGAACTGGGCTCCGCTCCGAGGACTTGGCGGCAGGTCAGACCTATCGCGACCAAACTCGCCCTTGGAATTTGAATTCCCAAGTCCGTCAGATATCGCGAGAGTAAAAGCCATAACCGCCTCCTCCCTATAGGCAAAAGTTCCGTGCCTCACCCCGCCCCCTCGAGCTAGGCCCCGCCCCCTCACGCCCTTCCGTTTCCGGCGGCGGTGTCAATAAAGTCGCGGCGGTTGTGGGCAACATGGCGGCGTCCATGGCTGGTTCCCTGCTGCGGGCGTTCCGGCAGGTCAGGCCTGCGCTTCACCCCTCAGCTCTGTGACCTGCGGGTCCCCCACCCTGGCCCCCTGTGTGCTCACGGCGGGCCAGCCTCGGGGCGTTTCCCTCCGCCGGCTCCGCTCGGGAGAGGCGAGGCCGTGCCCGGGTTCTGCGGCCTAGTTAGGAGGAGGAGGGATTTTAAACCCGGTCGTGGTGGCTCACCGCGTGTGTGCACGCTGGGGGGGGGATAGATCCCTAGAGCGGGAAGATTGATGCGGAGAGGGAAGCTCACAGCTACCTCTGTGCAGGAGGGGGTGGAGTCGTCGACGGGAAGGTGATCTTAAGCACAATAGAAATAGAATGGGGACCACCTTTTCCCTACGTACAGGTTGAGTCGGGGATTGAGTTGGGCAGGCCCTGTAACACTTGTGTCTTGTCCCCAGCCCTTTGTTTTAATTTTTCAGATAAGGTTGCTTTTACTCCCATGAGTCTCGCCCTGTGGTATCTTTACCTCTGCTTCCCTAGTAGCTGGAGTTTCCACTTCCAGCCGCTAGTAGCTTTTATTTAAACAGTCAAAAGCAGATAAAATTATTTTTAACATGTTTAGCCAGATACATCCAGAATACTACACACCATATAATTAATATAAAAATAAATGACTAGCAAATTTTACATTCTTTTGTCTTATACTTAATACATATGTCAAATTTGTCACCATGAACATGGAAAACCTAGTTCTATCAATACAACAAAGTTGCTTAAAGTTTTTAAGCTGAATGAAAGTCAAGAATTACTAGTTGTACTGGTGACATTTCGAGTGATTACTAGCCATATATGTGGTGGATGGCTGCTGGGTTGGACAGAACACATCTATAGTAACTAGATGTAAAGTAGATACAGGTGATGGTAAGTGCATAGATGTAGGGGAGCTTGTGGAATTTTCTTCCAGTTGCTTCTAATTCATAATTAAGGAGAAACTGAAATTTATCCGCTGAGTGTGAGCAGGGATTTAAAAATGCCACCTGTAGTCCCTGCTGCTCAGGAAGGGTAAGTGTGTTTGTCCTCTGTTCAGATTAAATCATTATGCATCCATTCAGTACCATATTAATAAATACAATTTCTGGACAGATATAAAGAAGTTACCAACAACAGTTGCCTATGGCTGGTGCATATCACTGGGCAGGTGAGGAGTGAGGGCAGAGGGAAACTTCCCTGTTTGTTTTTTATACTTAAAAAAATTTTTTTTTGACCCAGGTGATATTAGCTTAAGAAAAGTTAAACAATCATATTGGAAAGTTTTTGCTCTCCAGCATGTTATTCACATCATGTTATTAACACCACTCTAACAGGTAAAAGTTCTTTATTTTGAATTGGGAAGTCCGTTGTTTTGAGTATTTTTATTTGCTGGTTTTTGATACTTACCCACACTGGTCTTAAACTCGAGGCCTTCCTGCCTCTGTCTCCCAAATGGTAGAATTTCATATATGTGCCATAATGGACAGTTATTTGAGTTAGAAGTTTTTAAGTTAGTAGGTGATAAACCAAAGCCTGGGCCTGGCGATCCTTAACCTTCATAATTCTTGTCTCTATTGCTTAGGTGGCTCCTTCATCAGTTTCAGGACAATTTCGAGGCTACTATGTAGACTGGAAAATGTTTCGGGATGTAAAAAGACGGAAAATGGCCTATGAATATGCAGATGAGAGGCTTCGGATCAACTCACTCAGAAAGAATACCATCTTACCAAAAGATCTGCAGGTTTGCAAATCAAGTCCCTAATATGAAGTCACTAGCACAGATATTGTTATGTTGACTTAGCATGAATATAATTTGTGGAAAATAGGGTCAAATACTCCAAGTCAGCATAAGTGCATGAAATTGACATTGGTGAGTTTAGGATTAAAGATAACTGTATCACATCTCTCTAGCCATTCAGCCATTTTAATAGTCCCTAGAAAGTACTGGTGAATGGTGACCACACTGAAATTGGAAGTTATTTTGACCCAAGTTTTCTCAACTTCATTGCAGTCATGCAGCTCTCGAGGCATCTTCTGGAAGACATTGCTAATTTGTGGGGCCATTGGCCTAACCTGTCTTCCCTTAGGCCTTGAACTCCCTTACCCATGTGTGTTCCTCATAGACTCCTTTTCTTGTGTTTACTTGAATAATGGGGTACAAACCCCATTTGGTTTGCTGAAGGGTAAAGTCCTTGCATGTAAGTGGTGACATGGAACTCCTGCATTTGAAACGCTTGTCAAGCATTTAATGTCATATTGGAAGGATATCAAACATTTCTGGTAGCTTTTCTAGTCTGTTCCTTAAAGTTTACTGATGTAATTATATATTGCATATTCTATTTCTTAAATGCATATTGCAATTTAATGGTATATTAATGAATCTAGCTCTTTCTTCCTTTAAGTATTGACTTAAACACCTTGAATAAATAAATAAATGTGACTTGTAATATTGGGGTTTCCCTTAGGAAGTTGCTGATCAAGAAATCGCTGCCCTTCCTCGAGATAGCTGCCCTGTACGAATCAGAAATCGATGTGTTATGACGTCCCGACCTCGGGGTGTAAAGCGGCGCTGGAGGCTTAGTCGCATTGTCTTCCGTCACTTAGCCGACCATGGGCAGCTTTCTGGGGTCCAGCGAGCAATATGGTAATCAGCTTCACAATCTACTGAGCTTTCAAGTGAGCTAGTACTGGCAAGAAGAGACTTTTCTAATAGACAAAACTCTAGTAGTTTTTTTTTTGTTAGGGGTCCAGTATAGTTGTCTATTTTGATACTGTCTATAATTATTTCTAAATTTTAAGAAAGAAACTTGGATCTTTCATTCTGCCAGTGAATCGTCCTTTCTCTTTGACTTTATGTACTGTTGATTCCACATTGTTCGCATATGTAGTGCAAAGAATAGAATAAAAATACTTTCTGTGAAACTTTTGTTTACTGCACTTTTCTTTCAAGTGTTACCTTTTAGTAGCTTATAAGTGTTCTGCATTTTTAATCAGTATTATTTAATACAACAGTTTTTTTGTATAGATACCCTATCTACAGCAATTTGTAATCTTGGACTGGCTTGGACAGTGACAGGTAGTTTATCTAATGCTCTGCTTCTTAGTGTAATAGCTGAACAAAAGAACTACCATTTCTTTATCTTTAAGGGCCTTCAATGCAAGATGTGCCTCTTCATTGTCTGATAATCTGTCCAAACAGTAAAAGTGCTTTTGGTTTTCTTGGGGATTTTGGGGGGGGGATGGTGGAGGTTACTGGGTATTGAACTTAGGACTCTGCACTTTCTAGACTGGTGCTGTACCACTTGACTATACCACTAGCCCCTTTTTGTGTCGGGTAATATTTTGTTGTGAAGTAATTATTTTATACTTGGGCTGCAATCCTGCTTGTGTTATTGGGCAATACAAGCATGTAACACTGTACCTATCTTGGGCAGAAAAGTTTGAGACTTTATATGCAAATTGACCAGCATCAAACAGGGATGACTCCATTTTCAGCTGAGTTCAAACCCTACTAATTGTTTTGTTGAAATAGTATTTGCTTTGTTTGTAACTAATGAGTAAGAATACAAGGTCACTATCGTACTTTTCAACAGTGTGATCAGCCAATTAATGGAAAATATGTAGTAGTATAGATGAACATACTTACCAACATCAGGAAAATATTCCTGGAGTATGGTACCTTAACCTGAATCGAAAGATGGGATGAAGAAATTGGGAACAAAAGTACAAAGAAACGAAGGCATGATTCATCTGACGATGAGATCAGTTACTTCAATTAGAAATAAGCACTAGGCAAGAAAGGCCACTTCATGGAGGATTTAAAGTGATGTGAAGAAATTAAGACTTAATTTACAAGTATATTGTAGTTTTAAGGAATGACATCACCACTCCTACAGATAAGTGACAACCGTGTAGTTTACGACATGAAACGAAGATGACTGGCAAGATAGCCAGTTAGGAGGGTGGCTTTCTTTTGGTGGTAGTGGCAACCAGGACTTAAACTCAGGCTGATGATCTAACACTTGAGCCATGGCTTCAGCCTGGCTTTTTATTTTGGATATGAAGTCTAGCAAATTTACCTGCCTCATGAGCCTACCCTCAAATCATGGTTCTCCAGACACCAGTTTTCTGAGTAACTAAGATTACAGGCTTATTGAGCCACCAGAGCCCCATTTAGAAGTAAGGCTTTAAGAAGAGAGGGCAAAGTTTGAAAGTGTTAATTTAGGAAAATAGACAAGACTTTTGACTAGTAATTTAAGAGGTAGATGGTAGAGGACCACTCCAAGATAGAAAATATAGGAAATTGGACATTTAGGAATAACAATATATAATTGCAGAAGATATATATTGTAATTACCTTGCTAGAAAATGCTTTTTATATTTGCCTGCCCTTTACATAAAAATCTTAATCCTTGGAAATGGAGCTGGGGCACAAAGTGGTAGAGCACTAGCCTTGTACAAGAGTTCAGGGGCAGTGCCCAAGCCCCACAAATGGAAGAGAGGTGGGAATTCTTAACCTCTAATGATACCAAATTGTCTTACCATAAAAGTGTTTCTTCAAATTTTGCTAACACTAGTGACTGCATTTTTGTGGTTTTTAGAATTTATCTCATTAGCAATAGCCATATACTCTGTTTTAGAGTTCCCTAGTCTGTTTTAATGCTTGCTTGGTACATACACTGTGGTTTTAAGTATTTGTGCCACTCCAAAATTCATGTTGGATTTCAATCCTCCATCAGTGCACATACAACTCGGACTGTTCATTTGTTAGGTCAAGACCTGACCTTCATAAATGGCTTGGTGGGGTGTTCATCCCTTTTGTGCCCTTCTGCCATATGCAGGATACTTCAAAAAGAGCACCATCTTAGAAAGCAAGCCGTTCATTAAATCTGCTTGGAGTTCTGGCCTCCAGAATTGTGAGAAATGTTTCTACTTGTAAGGTACCTAGTCCAAGACACTTTGTCAATAGAAAAACCAAGATGAGTTGAATTTGTTTGAAACTTAAAATTGCTATGGTTTTTCAGCAAAAAAGCTGCAAGTGGAGGCATAGCTCAAGCAGTTATTTTTTTTTTTTGGTATGTAGCTCAGGCTGGTCTTGAACTCTCAATCTTCCTGCCTCAGCTTCACAAGTACTATAGTAATTACAGGTAATTTCTGGCTCACAGCTGAAATATATGTATTCCTAAGGCTTTGTTAGTATGTACATCATTACTTGTACTTGTTCATTTCACTTTCTTAGTATATTAAAAAAAATCTTGGTTTGTGAATACCAAACTATATTCAGTTAGTCCTCCAAAATAGTTATGTGGCTATTTCTAACCTGCATAGTTCATCTTTTGCATAGTTCCTAGAATTTTGAGTCAGGGTAAGCAAACATGTAATTATGGACATTACCAAATAATTTTTCCATCTTTAAACTTTTTATTCTGTTGCCACGTACGTGTCCCTCCTTTCCCCACAGCTTCAAAACTACGTTCAGTATCTGAAACTCCTGGAGTCTTGCCAAAGAACAGTGTGGTTTTGTTTTTTTTTTTTTACTATTTTCTCAACAACATGAACATCCTTTTATGTTAAAGATCACATACATGTCTTTTTAAATGAACTATTCATAATCTTTGGAATCCCAAGTTTTTGGAATTCTCAGTTTTTAGTTGTTACAGTTTTTCTTGCAATATAAATATTCCTTCCAGGTTTGAACTCAAAAGTAGTTGTTGGTTGCAGTGGAATTCCTCTCATTTCTTCTAGTACTTGTATTAGTTTTAGATCTTTGATGTTTTGAATGTATCCTTGGCTTATCATTTAAATACCATCTTTTCCAGTTTTAAAAAGTGTGGCTCTTAACTGCATTCTAAATCTTCCAATATGTACTCTTCTGTTCCACTGGTTTATGTGCTAGCACTATAACTATAAAGGCATTATGTGTTTTAGTATTGTTATATATTGTAACATACAAAGATACTTGGCATTTCTTATAAAGTTTCTATTGTTTCAATTCTATAATTGATTACTTAGTACACTGTAGTTTATAATATACACATTGCTTTAACATGGAATGGAATGTTCTATAACAACTTTCAAACACATTTGAATTTTATGCAAACTTTTGATTTTAATCTTATTCTTACATTAGTGGGAAGTGGTGCCAGTAACTCACCGGCATGCAACTACTGTTTTCCACTTCCTAGCTAAACAAAAATACATGTAATGTAGCATATTCCTTAGGCAAAATTTATTTAAATGAGACTGCCATATACCCAACCCCTTCTTAAAAAAATAACCAGGATACTAATGAAAGCATCTTTGGAGGAAGTGTTTAATAAGCATATTTTATTTAAATAAATCCTCCAGTAAGAAATGGAGAATTCACTGCCTTTACTTAGAAGGCTGTGTAAATACCATCTGCCCAATCTGTATATGCCAACATTCCATTATTGGAAACACCAGTATTTCCACATCAGTCCCAAAAGGATTTAAAAGTCTCAAAATTCTGGGTCTCCTTTGGCTTGCTTCTCTCTTGATTCCACCCAGGCTTTATTAATGGTGCGTTTCATATCATCATCTCCATCTTCATAAATTTTCTTTAGCACGTTCATTAATCCCTCACTAGGATCTGCTTCAGTGTCATAAGAAGGCTTTCTGTTAAAAGAGAAAACACTACAATGGAGAAACCAAAGCATGGAAAGGTACCATTTCAAGCTAACTAACAGGGGTTAAGGGACAAGAGAGAGCCAGAGTATACAAGCAATTCACAATTAGCACACAAATTTAGCTTAATGAAAATGCATTCTTATCGTAACACAGTACAGGAAAAGAGTGGTCACCAAAATGTTAGACAGTAAATTACTTTTCTGACAATTTTTAATAGTATATATTTTCAAAGTTTTCAAACACTGTGGCCAATAAATTCATTGAATTTTAGTTGAATAAATAGCCTAATAGCCAATTACCTTTACATTCCTTTCTTGAAACAGGTCTTCATTATATAGCCCAGGCTGGCTTCTAACACAATTCTTCTGCCCCCAGTGGTGTAATTCGGGCCCATGCTACCATACCCTGCTAGCTTTTTATTTAATTAGTACTCATTTAACCCATCAATTGCTAGATTATATACTGGAAATATAGTAACACAGGGTCCTAGACTCAGGTACATCTGTCTAGATTTTAAATTTTAAAAGCCTAACTCTAGCCAACCACTTCCCAAGGGAAATCGTAAGTATGAATAGCTACATTCCTCAATGCAGTATACCACCAACTAGCAGGAAAAAAAGCAAAACTGATATAGAAGTATCTGAATATTAAACATGTTAAGGAAAATAAACAGCCAGGTTTTTTTTAAATACCTGTAATCCCACTATTCAAGTGACAGGCAAAATTCTCAAGTTTGAATCCCAGCCTGAGTTAGATACCTTGTTTTACTGTCTTTAAAGAAAAAAAAAAAGGTCTCATATCTAAGGAATCTTAAATAAAAGAAAAACACATGGATACAAGAACCTTTCAGGAACTCCTAAAACAAATTATTAAGGATAGGTAAAGTATACTATTAAAAAAAAAAAAAGGCTAAGTATCTAGAAGCATCAGTGTATCCAGGTATGAGAAACCAGTACTCAAGAGCAGATTCCATGTATTTTAAAAATCAACTTGCTGGTTGGCACCCTTGATTCAAGTCTATAATCCTAGGTACTTGGGAGGCTGAGATTGAGAGGCTCAGTTTTCCAGGCTGGCCCAGGCAAAAAAGTCAGATGCCATCTCAATGGAAAAAGCTGAGTATGATGATACACATCTGTCATCTCGCTATGATTACAGTGAAAAATAGGATTGTAGTGCAGGCAGACTCAGGGAGACCCTTTCTCAGTAATAAATAGTGTAAAGAAGTTATGGTTCAGTAGATAGACTATCTGCCTAGCTAAGTACCAGGCCCTAGT